GGGGGATGAGAGCGTGAGTGAGAGCGAGTGTGCTGTCAATGGCAGTGTGGAGACAGAAGGGGCGGAGGGAGTGGGAGCGGGACTGAGGGAGCGGGATGGGGATGGCCAACCAACCTCCCCCATTCCCCCCTCCCTCTCCCCCTTTTCTTCCTTCTCCCTTCCCCTCCCCCCTCTCCCCTTTTTCCCCTCCTCCCCATCACCCCCTTACCCCCTTACCCGTTCTCCCCAGCGTCATCTCCCTGTACGTCCCTGCCCTGATGCTGTTCAACATGGGGGTGGCCATCACAGCTGAGTACACAGCGATAGGCAGTCTCTTCACCGACATCATCGGTTCCAAGAGCCTGCCCATCATCCCACAAGCACCCCCTTCCCACCCCCCCCACCCCTCTCACCCCCAGCGTGATCTCGCTGTACGTCTCTGCCCTGATGCTGTTCAACATGGGGGTGGCCATCACAGCGGAGTACACGGCCATAGGGAGTCTCTTCACCGACATCATCGGCTCCAAGAGCCTGCCCATCATCCCACAAGCCCCTCTTACCCCCTTCCCACCCCCCCCACCCCTCTCACCCCCAGCGTGATCTCGCTGTACGTCTCTGCCCTGATGCTGTTCAACATGGGGGTGGCCATCACAGCGGAGTACACGGCCATAGGGAGTCTCTTCACCGACATCATCGGCTCCAAGAGCCTGCCCATCATCCCACAAGCACCCCCTTCCCACCCCCCCCACCCCTCTCACCCCCAGCGTGATCTCGCTGTACGTCTCTGCCCTGATGCTGTTCAACATGGGGGTGGCCATCACAGCGGAGTACACGGCCATAGGGAGTCTCTTCACCGACATCATCGGTTCCAAGAGCCTGCCCATCATCCTCGTTATAGGCATCGTCTCGCTGATCTACACTGCCATTGGAGGGCTCTACGTGTCCATTATCACCGACCAGTGGCAGGTGCCTGGGTGTGCGGGGAATGGGGGGAACGGGTGTGGAGGAGGGGTGCTAGTGCTCTTCGTATTCGTCTGCTCACTGCTGTCCGTACGGCATTACCTTCTGGCTTATCCCTTACCCCTTCCACCTCTCTCCTACCCTCCAGGCGGGCGTATCAGTGGTGTTGGTGCTAGTGCTTTTCATGTTCGTCTGCGCCATTGCTGACCTCATCCCACGCGCCTCCCCTCTCCTTTCTCCCTTCTTCCTTGCCCTCACTTCCCCTCCCCCCCACCCCACAGGCGGGCGTATCAGTGGTGTTCGTGTTGATCCTCTTCATATTCGTCTGCGCCACCTTCGACGCCAAGCTCGGTCCGCTCCCCTCGGAGCCGGTGGATCTCACGTGGAGCAACGAGTTCGGGCTGGCGTCCATAGCAGTCATGCCCATCTCGCTCATCTCCTCAACTCTCTTCAGTGAAGCCATGTGGCAGCGGTGAGCACGACCTGTCTCTGTGGTTACAGGAATCCCACCTCACAACAGCCTGCCAACAGGCTTGCCTCGCGTCCATAGCAGTCATGCCCATCTCGCTCATCTCCTCCCCTCTCTTCAGCGAGGCAATGTGGCAGCGGTGAGCTGAGCGTCGGTGTGGGTTTGATCGCAGCACATTCAACTTCCTGTCAGATAGTACAGTCTCGCCTCCCATTGCACTCATGCCCATCTCGCTCATCTCCTCCCCTCTCTTCAGCGAGGCAATGTGGCAGCGGTGAGCTGAGCGTCGGTGTGGGTTTGATCGCAGCACATTCACCTTCCTGTCAGATAGTACAGTCTCGCCTCCCATTGCACTCATGCCCATCTCGCTCATCTCCTCCCCTCTCTTCAGTGAAGCCATGTGGCAGCGGTGAGTGGGGGCTCTGTGTGTGCGTGATCACAAGTCTGTCAGTCTGTCAGATTGACGGATCACATGTGATCACACGTGATCACACGCACATACACCGCCCAGTCTGTCAGAAAGTACGGCCTCGCCTCCATTGCCGTCATGCCCATCTTGCTCATCTCAGGTCCGCCCCTGTGCTTCTGCTCGCCCTGTTTGCCTCCCTCTCGTGTGTGCCACCTCTCACCACACCAAGTGCTGGGCGTCAGCCAGTCGCAAGGCGCTGCTGGGGGGACCAGCCAAAAGCTGTGCCGCTGCCCCTCCCTGCCTCTCCCCTTCCTGTCCCTCCCCTACCCCTCACACCAGCTGCTGGGCGTCAGCGAGCAGGAAGGCGCTGCTGGGAGGAGCAGCACTGGCATCGGTGGCCGTCACCATCGTCGTCTTCCTCTTTGGCTTCGGCGGTATGCTCTCTTCTTGCACTCCCCACGCATTGCGCTCCCACCTTCTCTCGTCTGCTCCCTCCTGCCTTCCTCTTGTGCTCCCCTGCTCCCCCACTGGCATCGGTGGCCGTCACCATCGTTGTCTTCCTCTTTGGCTTCGGCGGTATGCTCCCTTTCCCCTAACGCACCCTGCCCGCTTGCCTTGCTCTCCGTTTGCTCTCCCCTTGCCAGCTTGCTCGCCCCCCTCCGGCAAACTTGCTGGCCTGCTCGCGGATGCTGCTGCCACATCTTCCCTCCCCCTTATGGTTTGCCTTTCTCGCTTCCTATTCCGCACCTCTGCTCCCCTCCACCCCTACCAAACAGGCCTACTCGCGGTGTGAGGCGGCGTGTGGCAACCGAACAGGATTTCACCAACACCAACATCACCCTCTTTCCTCCCATCAACCACGCCACACCCCTGCACTCCCCTTTCACCCCATCCGCCAGGTCTACTCGCCGTGTGGGGCGGGGTGTGGCAGCCGAACGAGGATTTCACCAACACCAACACGATCCTCTTCTCGCTCTTCAACAACACCACGTGGGTGCTCGTCATCACCACCGTGCTCGCCGTCGTCATGTCCGAGTCAGCCGTCGACTCGCTGCAGAACGCCATCGCCGACACGCTCACCACCGCCTTCCTCGCCATCATCGACTTCTCCCTCCCGCTCGCTTTCGGCGACGTGCAGGGGGCCGTTGCAAAGACCGCCTTCATGGCTGTCTTCGAATCCAAGGGCATCTGGGCGGTTCGTGCGATCGTACTCCTCTTCAACGTCCCTCCGCTCGTCGTGGCCCTCAAGGGCTACAACGTGCTCCAGCTCTTTCTCCTTGCAAACCTCCTCACCACCACATCGACTATCCCGGTCATGGCGGGTGTGATCCCCGGAAAGTGGTCTCGCCGGGTTGTCACGCCCTTCTCCGTGGGCTTTGGCTGCCTGTCTGGCATCGCATCGCTCTTCATCTGGACGCAAATCTACTCGGTCAAATACGACATGTCGTATTCTGATTCGCTCTACCAGGTGTTCCTAAATGCGTACGACTACCCTCCGTTCCTCATGGCTCTCGGGTTTTCCTTCTTTGGCATGTTGGTGGGTGCGGGGATGGAGGCTGTGGTGAGGATGGCGCTCAAGCTGGAGTACCCCGAGTTTGACCTGGGTTCGGAGGAGTTGCCAGTGGTGGAGGGCGGTGAGATGGTGGATGCAGGCATGGAGAAGCTGGGCATGGGTGATGGTGCGGGTGCGCCTATGGTTTCAAACTCTTGATTGATGACATGCTAATCATGGGTTGTGCTTGCGGTGGCCACTGTAGCGGGATTGGGGGTTTAGATGGTAAACATTGGAATAAAGACAGTAGGTGACAATATACATCTAGTTTTTATGGGTTGTGTCCATATGAGATCCTCTGGGAGAAGCTCTGGAGACTAACCCAGTGCTGTGCAATGCAGTGGTGATGCAGGAGGCATGTGGCGGAGGAAGATGGAACGCAATACACTGGCCTCTCGATATCAGGGTGATTCACCCTTATGACCCTTACTATAAGGGCGGGTTTTACGATGCACCCTTTTTTACAAGACTGGTTTTGTTTTCGACCCTTACCAAAAAAAGTGATCGATTGTATGACACTGATATTTCAGAGCTATGTGGTGTAGTAGCACTGATGAAATCGAGTTCGATCTAAGAGAGGATACCAGGATTGGTCGCGTAAAACACATTTCCTATTTTTGGATGACCTCGACAGGTATCGAACTTGGGTCCTCCACATAACAACGATGACTCAACACACTGCAACACTAACACCCTACGTATAAGGCTCAGCAAAAATATGTGACAGTTTCTTTAATTTGTTTGCACCCTGATTTTTAAGAGCAGTTCCTGTGAAGCACCCTTACTGAAAGAGTAACAGCTGGGTGTTGGCCTTACGAGGAAGAGTACCCCAAATCCTATCCAGAGGCCTGGCAATACAGGATTGCAGGTGACTGGTGGTATTACTGCTGCTGATGTCTGCAGGCAGCACGTTGCATTGAGATACTGGTACCAGTACTACACAAAATGACTCGGTAATGGTCCCCTCTTGGCATTGCATTGCGTCCCAGCAGCAAGCATCAATTTTCATCCAACCTACATAACATCCCCCCACCACCAGATCAAACTAAAACAATATAGACCACATCACACCCCGTAGCACAGCACGAGATCCTTTGATTTTCACGGGGAGGGTCTGAATGAAGCACACGGGACTCCCAAGGACACGGTTGAGGCCACCCACTGTCTGCGGCCTTGCCTGCAGCACCACCAGCCCCATCTCCCACTCTCTTCTCTGAGTGCACAACTCAACCATCACTTCGACCACACATGCCGTGCCGTGCCGTCCCGTGCGGTGCCGTGCCTTATTTCCAATCCAACCTCTCGGCTTCCCCACTCGTATAGCCCTGGATAGGATGGAGTGAAGTTCTAGTGTGCAAGTAGGAAAACATTTCTTCGCCCGTCCGCTCATGCTACTCTCCTCAAACCCTGTTTCCTCTCTGCTTTTGCTTCTTCTGACCACGCCCCCTGCTCTTTCCCCATACCCAACACATGCCCTGCCCCATCCCCTGGAAGCTTTGACCTCCACTGGCCCTCCACCCCACTCCGTCCATCTCCTCTTCCCCCTCCTCCCTCTCCCTCCTTCCCTCTCCCCCATCATAACCTCCTCGCCCCTCCCCTCCCCTCCCCCGTGCGTGAGCCATCACACGTCATCACTGCACCGCGCATCCGCACACGTCATCCGCGTCGGACGCGTCGTATCTGCGTCGCCTGGGCGGCAGGTGAATATCCTCCCACTCCACGTCGCTGCGCGCAGTGCACGGCGGAGCGGAGGTGGGGGATGGGGATAATGGAGGGGAGGGAGATGGAGAAGAGAAAGGACAGAGGTTGGTGGAGGGAAGGGTCGACGAGAATGGGGGCAGAATGACCTCCCGCTTGACGTCGCTCGACAACGCAGGGTGGGACGCTGGCATGGGAGGGGCTCAGTGAGACAGTGAGATGGGGGAGTGAGGAGGGAGGGGTGACAGGGTGTAAAAGGAGTGCGAAGTTGCTTTGTTGCTTGCTAGTCTCTCAGGAGTAAGGGGAGGGGAGGGATTAGTGCGACCGGTAGGGAGCCAGGGGGATGGACAGTGGGAGAATGTGAGTGAGCGGGAAAGGGCTCAGTGTCGCACATGGTCGCACATTGTCGCACGTGGTCGTAGAGCAGGTGGATTGTTACAGCATTGGGCAGCGTACCTTCGCTCAAATTCGCGAACATCGACGAGCGACCCGCCGTCCTCCTCGTCGCACCACCGAACCCGCTGCCCCTTGCTGTTGGGCGACTTGCCGGGCGACTCTCTCGCACGCGCCGGCGACACCGGCGGGAACCTATGCGGACCGAAAGGCCACGTGGCGTTGAAGGGAACTTCGTCGTCTATAGTCAACGCGGATTCGAAAGAGTCAACGTTGTCTGGTTGAACCAGCGAGCCGCTCGGCGATGATTGGCCAATCAGAGGTTCGGCGGCTCTTGGGCTGTCTTCGATGGAAGAAGTGGAAGTTTCGAACGAATCTTCGCTCCCAAACGACGAGAATCCACTGCACGACTCGTCACTGCTTGACGATTCGTCGTCGCTTGACAAGTCTTCGCTGTCGCACGAGCTTTTGCTGTCACACTCCTGCACACCCCCGTTGGCCGTTGACTCGATAGAATCGCATTTCGTCTGTAAACACGTGACCATCTCATCACCGGCTGCAAGATTTTTGGTATTTTTCTCTTGACACGACTCTCTGGCGGCAGGAATGTGATTTCCTCGGCGAGACTCATCGAATAGCTGCGTCTCGGGCGGTATCAGAGCTTCACAGTCGCCCTCCTCCGCACCGCAGGATCTTTGTCGAATCGACGGCGGCGAGGCCTCGGCGAGCTCTTGCAAGAAATCCCGAAGCTGAAGAGAAGGCTTGGCACGAGGCTGAGTGGATAACCAGAGGCTGTTGCTCAGGATAGGAACGGCGAGAGGCAGGGGGAGAGGCAGGTCGCCTTCGGAGGGTTCGAGTCCAACGAGGGCCATGGCTGGGTTCTGTTAAATGTTGGCCGTTGTGCGAGGCGCTATATATAGGATTGCTGCCAGTTTATGGCGTTCTATGGCTTATCGCATGTGGCGTCCTTTAGCTCTCGGGGCCGTTTCCATAGTAAGAGCAGCGCGTGGAGTTGGAGCGAGAGCTTGGCGTGGAAAAGGAGTCGAGCTGACTTGAGAGGCAGAGCAGGCGCCAACTGCGGCGCTTTTCGCTTTTCTACCAACAATGGTGGCGAGGTGACCTCCTCGACCCGACCCGGTCGCTATCGACCTCAAATAATGCCCAACCATGCAGAGCGCGCCGCGCTGGTTGCAACCATCCCCGCGCTAGCGCGCTAAACGGGGCAAGCTTGGAAAAAAAAACATTAAATTTTTGTGTGGCCTTCGTGATGATAATCGTAGCCGAACAATAGAGAAAATCGTGGGCGTCGAATAGGTTCGGGAAAGGCATTGACGGTGCGCGGTCGAAACCGAACCTTCACTTTCGCCCAACCATACCACGCCGTGAGGTTCGGAAAGTCGCCCTGCTTGTTTGGAATTTGGAACGCGTTACACATACAGACAAAAGTCCGACACCGCCCTGAAGGTGGAACCCTATTGGCCCAAATATTTTTTTCTTATCGCAAAATCGTGACGTGTGTGTGTGTCCTCCCGCGAAATATTTTTCGGGGTTAGCTTGGTGTAGAATGGCAAGTTTGGTGCAGCCGGAGGGAATGGGGTGGGAACCCTGCGGCTTGGTGGAGACTACAAGCTGCAATGATTCATATCACTGTTTGGGACGGGCACCATGAAGTTTGAAGAGCCGCTCCTACCCTTCCGCATGTCACATCCAACTTTGGTCAAGGAGCGTGTGGCAAACCCGATACGGAGGTTATCGCATTGCCTCTGTAAATTGACTGCTCGTACGCGCTAGCGCTTACATCGACACCAGTAGCGTCAACTAGGCTTTGCTGTGGACATGGGATGCGCCTACACAAATGCAAATTCCATTCTTTCTCTGATCAAATTCCCAGAGAAGCTCACTATATGGAAGCCCATAGGCCATGGAATGGCATTATCGATCATACAGATGCAAAGAGCGGCCAATGGGATCATGAGGGTACACGTCCTTCAAGCTCTCCTCCGCATCCAGCCATACCCATTGATCCTCCGGCACCCCACTTACACAAAAATCACTACACCTATCCAAGTTATCATCACCAACTTCTTCCATCACACTCCCATCAATACCCAGAACCTCCAACAACGCACTAGCCCCTCTCTCCCCAGCAGCCTTCGCCAGCTCACTCCACGACGCCCCCGCTTCATCTACACTCCGCTCCACTTTACAAGCCCCAGAAACAGACGAATTCGCCCACTGGGAGCAAACCCTCGCGCGGCCGCCACGGCACGGCGTGGGAGCGACCACAGCTGCAGGGTTCTCAAGGGCGCGGGAGGAGTATTTCGCAAGGAGTACCGCCCAGAAGTGCACGCGTGAGTGCCATGTGCAGACGAGCGCTGCGAGCTCGTTTGCGTTGCGCACCATGGTGCGGACGGCAGCGTCGTTGCGCTGCATCCACGCTATCACACTGAATAGGTCCCGGAAACTGGGTGGGGAAGGGGAGGAGGGGGTGTGGGGTGTAGGGGGAAAAGGCAGTTGGGTTTGGGTGTGGATGGAGGAGGAAAGGGGAATACGGGTTGTTTGCCATGCACGGGTAAGGGATAGAGAGTGTTTGCTGCTAGCAGCAGCACTCCCGTCTCAGCTGCAGCAGGCCCATCTCAACCCCACATGCCTCTGTGCACATAGGTGTATGCACTCCGCTCATATGTGCCCATCCGGCAGCAGCAGCAGGTCAAAAAGCTCCACGCAGCATGAGAGAATGCAACTCCATAGACACACCATGTGCATCCACACGACCACCATACATGCTCATTGCACCGCACAGTATCTTACTCCACTCACCTGTGCCCCACGGGTGCATAGTGCACGCCTGGCAGCGGCAGCGGGTCAAAGAACTCCGTGTAGCCTGAGGGCATGGAGCTCCATACACACACCATGTGCACCACACATGTCCACCATGCATGCCTCTCTGCACCGCACAGTACTGCACAGCACTCCACCCCACTGACCTGTGCTGAACAGGTGCGTAGTGCACGCCTGGAAGCAGCAGCGGGTCAAAGAACTCCGTGTAGCCTGAGGGAACACGCACATACACCATGTGTGGACGCTCATTCTCAGCTCATACATGCTCATTGCACCGCACACCACCGCATCCCACTCACCTGTGCCCCACGGGCGCGTAGTGCACGCCTGGCAGCAGCAGCGGATCAAAGAACTCCGTGTAGCCTGACGCGTGGCGGATGACAGCCTGTGGGCCACTGAGAGCGCGACACATGTCACGCGTGCCAATCTGCTCGTCCACCACCAGCACGTACTTGTAGTCTCTCCTCTCTGCCCCGTCATCCAGCTCCTCCGCCAGCACAACACCGTGCCTGGGAAGGGGGGAAACAGCTTTTTGAGTCGACTAACAATGCTCATGGCACCACCAGCACGTGCTTGTACCGCCTCCTCTCTGCCACGTCATCAAGCTCCTCCGCCAGCACCACACGGTGCCAGGGGGGGGGGGAAGGGAAACGGCTGGAGACAGGTAAGAATACCTCACACTGACGCGAGACGTTCCAAGGGGAATGATTTTCCCTATTGAGACAATCCTCCCTCTTCTGAACCCCCCTATACCGCCCTCCAATCCCCTCCGCACCTGAGCAGCAGCTTCTTGGCGTCAATGCCATCCATATCGCCCCACATGGTGAGTTGTGCGTCCAGCAGATTAGAGCGGGCGACTTGGCATCCCCCTTCCTTACCCTACCCTCCCCTTCCCACCCCTTCCCCCGCAGGCACCCATTCACCTGAGCAGCAGCTTCTTGGCATCAACGCCGTCCTTGTCGCCCCACATGGTGAGCCGTGCGTCCAGCAGGTCAGGGCGGGCGTCTGACATGCGGTGCAGGCGCACCCTCAAGCTGCTGGCCCAGTTGGCTTCTTTCAATACCAGCTCCAAGGCTTTGCCACGCCATACCGCCTTGCTCTGCCTCTGCTTGGTGGCAAAGGGGGACACAGGCAAGTGGGAAATGCAGGGGTTGAGGAGGGCGTCTGACATGCGGTGCAGGCGCACGCGCAGGCTGCTGGCCCAGTTGGCCTCTTTTAACACCAGCTCCAGCGCCCTGCCTCGCCATACCGCCTTGCTCTGCCTCTGCTCATGGAGCGGGAGGGACAACGGGGGAAACGATGCAGATGCGAAACACGTGCTTTTTAAAAAATTCTCAAAAAACATGTGGGAGGATAATCAAGCCAGAACACGTCTTTTGAGGCGCCTCAAAACAACTTTTGAGGCGCCTCAAAACATGTGGGAGGATAATCAAGCCAGAGCATGTTCCTGTCCTCGGCCGGCCTTTGAGAATTCTCAAAAGACCGGCCAAACCCGGCAGCAACACGCTCCTCTCCTCACCCCAGGATCCAGTCCCTTCTTCCCAGAAACAGCATCTGACTGAGTTGACTCACAGGCCATCACCCACCCACACGCAATCACCTGCTCCCATATCGGCCACCATTCCAGCCCCCGCCTCTCCTGCCGCCGCTCCCACCCTCCAAACCCAGAAGCGGACAGAGCATTGCGGGGAGAGAAGGAGGGGGAGTAGGAGGGCGAGCAGGGGAGGTGGAGGGGGTTGGGAATAGACTGTCTTGTCACCCCCGGCGTCCAATGTGTGCTCAGCACGGCTCAGGCTTGGGGATCGGGTTTGGGGCTCAGGTTTGGAGATCAGGCTTGAAGCTCAGGCTTGGGGATCAGGTTTGGGGTTTGAGGTCAGGTTTGAGGTCAGGTTTGAGGTCAGGTTTGACGTCAGGTTTGAGGTCAGGTTTGACGTCAGGTTTGAGGTCAGGTTTGACGTCAGGTTTGAGGTCAGGTTTGACGTCAGGTTTGAGGTCAGGTTTGACGTCAGGTTTGATGTCAAGTTTGACATTAGGCTTGAGGTCAGGTTTGAGGTTTTGTTTGACGTCAGGTTTGAGGTCAGGTTTGACGTCAAGTTTGAGGTCAGGTTTGACGTCAGGTTTGAGGTCAGGTTTGACGTCAGGTTTGACGTCAAGTTTGAGGTCAGGTTTGACGTCAGGTTTGAGGTCAGGTTTGACGTCAGGTTTGAGGTCAGGTTTGACATCAGGTTTGACATTAGGTTTGAGGTCAGGTTTGAGGTTTGGTTTGACGTCAGGTTTGAGGTCAGGTTTGAGGTCAGGTTTGACATCAGGTTTGACATTAGGTTTGAGGTCAGGTTTGAGGTTTGGTTTGACGTCAGGTTTGAGGTCAGGTTTGAGGTCAGGTTTGACGCCAGTTTTGAGGTCAGGTTTGACATAAAGTTTGACGTCAGGTTTGAGGTCAGGTTTGACGTCAGGTTTGAGGTCAGGTTTGACATCAGGTTTGACGTCAGGTTTGAGGTCAGGTTTGACATCAGGTTTGACATCAGGTTTGACATCAGGTTTGAGGTCAGGTTTGAGGTCAGGTTTGACGCCAGTTTTGAGGTCAGGTTTGACGTAAAGTTTGACGTCAGGTTTGAGGTCAGGTTTGAGGTCAGGTTTGACGTCAGGTTTGACGTCAAGTTTGAGGTCAGGTTTGACGTCAGGTTTGAGGTCAGGTTTGACGTCAGGTTTGAGGTCAGGTTTGACATCAGGTTTGACATTAGGTTTGAGGTCAGGTTTGAGGTTTGGTTTGACGTCAGGTTTGAGGTCAGGTTTGAGGTCAGGTTGACGTGAAGTTTGACGTCAGGTTTGACGTCAGGTTTGACGTCAGGTTTGAGGTCAGGTTTGACGCCAGTTTTGAGGTCAGGTTTGACATAAAGTTTGACGTCAGGTTTGAGGTCAGGTTTGACGTCAGGTTTGAGGTCAGGTTTGACATCAGGTTTGACATCAGGTTTGAGGTCAGGTTTGACATCAGGTTTGACATCAGGTTTGACGTCAGGTTTGAGGTCAGGTTTGAGGTCAGGTTTGACGCCAGTTTTGAGGTCAGGTTTGACGTAAAGTTTGACGTCAGGGTCAGGGTTGAGGTCAGGTTTGACGTCAGGTTTGAGGTCAGGTTTGACGTCAGGTTTGAAGTTTGGTTTGAGGTTTGGTTTGAGGTTTGGTTTGACGTCAGGTTTGAGGTCAGGTTTGACGTCAAGTTTGAGGTCAGGTTTGACGTCAGGTTTGACGTCAGGTTTGAGGTCAGGTTTGACATCAGGTTTGACGTCAGGTTTGAGGTCAGGTTTGACATCAGGTTTGACGTCAGGTTTGAGGTCAGGTTTGAGGTCAGGTTTGACGCCAGTTTTAAGGTCAGGTTTGACGTAAAGTTTGACGTCAGGTTTGAGGTCAGGTTTGAGGTCAGGTTTGACGTCAGGTTTGAGGTCAGGTTTGACGTCAGGTTTGAGGTCAGGTTTGACGTCAGGTTTGAGGTCAGGTTTGACGTCAGGTTTGAGGTCAGGTTTGACGTCAGGTTTGAGGTTTGGTTTGACGTCAGGTTTGAGGTCAGGTTTGAGGTCAGGTTTAACGCCAGTTTTGAGGTCAGGTTTGACGTAAAGTTTGACGTCAGGTTTGACGTCAGGTTTGACGTCAGGTTTGAGGTCAAGTTTGAGGTCAGGTTTGACGTCAGGTTTGACATCAGGTTTGAGGTCAGGTTTGAGGTCAGGTTTGACGTCAGGTTTGATGTCAGGTTTGAGGTCAGGTTTGACGTCAGGTTTGAGGTCAGGTTTGACATCAGGTTTGAGGTCAGGTTTGAAACCAGGTTTGAGGTCAGGTTTGACGTCAGGTTTGAGGTCAGGTTTGACGTCAAGTTTGAGGTCAGGTTTGAGGTCAGGTTTGAGGTCAGGTTTGACGTCAGGTTTGACATCAGGTTTGACATTAGGCTTGAGGTCAGATTTGAGGTTTGGTTTGACGTCAGGTTTGAGGTCAGGTTTGACGTCAGGTTTGACGCCATTTTTGAGGTCAGGTTTGACGTAAGGTTTGACGTCAGGTTTGACGTCAGGTTTGAGGTCAAGTTGGAGGTCAGGTTTGAGGTCAGGTTTGAGGTTTGGTTTGACGCCAGTTTTGAGGTCAGTTTTGACGTCAGGTTTGACATCAGGTTTGACGTCAGGTTTGAGGTCAGGTTTGAGGTCAGGTTTGAGGTCAGGTTTGAGGTCAGGTTTGAGGTCAGGTTTGAGGTTGGGTTTGACGTCAGGTTTGAGGTTAAGTTTGAGGTCAGGCTTGAGGTCAGGTTTGAGGTCAGGTTTGAGGTCAGGTTTGACGTCAGGTTTGAGGTCAGGTTTGAGGTCAGGTTTGAGGTCAGGTTTGACATCAGGTTTGACATCAGGTTTGAGGTCAGGTTTGAGGTCAGGTTTGAGGTCAGGTTTGAGGTCAGGTTTCGCGTCAGGTTTGACATCAGGTTTGAGGTCAGGTTTGAGGTCAGGTTTGAGGTCAGGTTTGACGTGAGTGAGGTTTGACGTTAGTCAGGTTTGAGGTCAGGTTTGATGTCAGGTTTGAGGTCAGGTTTGAGGTCAGGTTTGAGGTCAGGTTTGACGTCAGGTTTGAGGTCAGGTTTGAGGTCAGGTTTGAGGTCAGGTTTGACGTCAGGTTTGACGTCAGGTTTGACGTCAGGTTTGACGTCAGGTTTGACGTCAGGTTTGAGGTCAGGTTTGAGGTCAGGTTTGACGTCAGGTTTGAGGTCAGGTTTGAGGTCAGGTTTGAGGTCAGGTTTGAGGTCAGGTTTGACGCCAGTTTTGAGGTTAAGTTTGACGTCAGGTTTGACGTCAGGTTTGACGTCAGGTTTGAGGTCAGGTTTGAGGTCAGGTTTGACGTCAGGTTTGAGGTCAGGTTTGACATCAGGTTTGACGTCAGGTTTGACATCAGGTTTGAGGTCAGGTTTGAGGTCAGGTTTGACATTAAGTTTGAGGTCAGGTTTGAGGTCAGGTTTGACATTAAGTTTGAGGTTTGGTTTGACGTCAGGTTTGACATTAAGTTTGAGGTCAGGTTTGAGGTCAGGTTTGACGTCAGGTTTGAGGTCAGGTTTGAGGTCAGGTTTGAGGTCAGGTTTGAGGTCAGGTTTGAGGTCAGGTTTGAGGTCAGGTTTGACATCAGGTTTGAGGTCAAGTTTAAGGTCAGGTTTGACGTCAGGTTTGACGCCAGTTTTGAGGTCAGGTTTGACGTAAAGTTTGACGTCAGGCTTGACATCAGGTTTGACGTCAGGTTTGACGTCAGGTTTGACGTCAGGTTTGAGGTCAGGTTTGACGTCAGGTTTGACGTCAGGTTTGACGTCAGGTTTGAGGTCAGGTTTGAGGTCAGGTTTGACGTCAGGTTTGAGGTCAGGTTTGAGGTCAGGTTTGAGGTCAGGTTTGACGTCAGGTTTGACATCAGGTTTGAGGTCAGGTTTGAGGTCAGGTTTGAGGTCAGGTTTGACATGAGTGAGGTTTGTCGTTAGTCAGGTTTGAGGTCAGGTTTGATGTCAGGTTTGAGGTCAGGTTTGAGGCCGGGTTTGAGGTCAGGTTTGACGTCAGGTTTGACGTCAGGTTTGACGTCAGGTTTGAGGTCAGGTTTGAGGTCAGGTTTGACGTCAGGTTTGAGGTCAGGTTTGAGGTCAGGTTTGAGGTCAGGTTTGACGCCGGTTTTGAGGTTAAGTTTGACGTCAGGTTTGACGTCAGGTTTGACGTCAGGTTTGAGGTCAGGTTTGAGGTCAGGTTTGACGTCAGGTTTGAGGTCAGGTTTGACATCAGGTTTGACGTCAGGTTTGACATCAGGTTTGAGGTCAGGTTTGAGGTCAGGTTTGAGGTCAGGTTTGAGGTCAGGTTTGACATTAAGTTTGAGGTTTGGTTTGACGTCAGGTTTGACATTAAGTTTGAGGTCAGGTTTGAGGTCTGGTTTGAGGTCAGGTTTGACGTTAGGTTTGAGGTCAGGTTTGACATCAGGTTTGAGGTCAGGTTTGAGGTCAGGTTTGACGCCAGTTTTGAGGTCAGGTTTGACGTAAAGTTTGACGTCAGGTTTGAGGTCAGGTTTGAGGTCAGGTTTGACGTCAGGTTTGAGGTCAGGTTTGAGGTCAGGTTTGAC